TGCTGCGGCCAGCCCCAGCACTGCCCGTTTTGGAGGTGGATGTTTGTCTGAGCAGTGGGATGTAGCTGGAGGTTGCTGCAACAAATTGGGGGTTGCAAACACCCACCCTAAACACAAAATTCCCTTTAGTAATGGTAGAGTGATACTTGTACCCATACCAATATAAATACGGGTGGGCTCCAGACTGCGGCATGCTGCATGGTATGAGGGATGGAGGTGGGACTGGGGACACCCCTTGTGTGACCCTCTGGATCTATTTCAGAGCCCCCAGAAGGATTTCCCTTCCTGGCTCTCCCAGCTGACCCCTCCAGAGCAGCCAGCAAGCCTGCACGGGGTGAGTAGTCCCTGCTGAGGTATTACGGGGAAGGAGGGACCTGGGTGGGGTGCCAGCCATGGGCACAAACATCAGCTGTGAGGCTGCCGGCCCCATCCCTGCCCCATCGGCTCCAGGCTGCCACCAGGAACAGCTGTGGAGCCCTGAAATGCCCCGCCTTGTGCTGGAAGTAGTTTGCAGCGTTCAGAAGAAAAACGTCTCCAAGGGGATGTGCGATTTGAGGTGACACTTAAGTCTACCTGCCCTCTAGTCTGGGGACAGGAACGTCCTCGTGGGTCTCGTTGGTGCGCAGCATCGCTCAGCTGGCTGGCGGGACATGTGGGGACGGGATGGCCTGGCTGGTCCCCGGTGCTTTGCAGAGGGTGTGCCCTGGGGAGCGTGTTGCCCAGCTGGGGCGGCACGTGGGCAGAGGGAGGTCACAGCCACGGTGCATGTTTACAGCTTGTGAGCCACATCTGCCCACAAAGGCCAGCGGCCTTTGGTGAGCAAAGTCCAGGCAGAGCATGGCAGGGGTGGGCAGCTGGCTCGCCCACGGAAACCTGCTGAATCAGCCACTCGTGTTGCCTGTAGGAGCAGGCTCTGGGCCAGGAGCAGTGCCACGTGCCCCAGTGCCTCCAGGGCAGTTCTGCCGCCAGGCTTCGGTGCTACGGAGCTCACACCGCCGTGGCGGCAAGGCTTCTGCCAGCCCTGGCAGGTGTCGGAGCTCTGGTCCGTGCCCGGCTGTCCAGCAGGCTGGGGAGGACACCCCGGTCCCTTGCTGATCGCTTGGATCACATCCCCCTTGGCAAGGGGTGGTCCGAGGGAGACGCCGGGGGTTGCTCGGGGGTTGCTCTGGGCTTGGTTGTTCCCAGCATCACCACGAGGCACCCACCAGCGGCCCGGCGCCGTGGGCAGGGCTGGGCAGGGGAGAAGCGGCGCAGAGCTTTGCCCTGGCCTGGAGAGCTGCTGCTGAGCCTGCGAGTCCCACCTGGCTAAAGGTCCCTGGGGGGACTGGCGCCTGCAGCTGGGTTTCTGTCGCGAGGTCTGGGGAGCGTCGCGGAGGGAGGCTGTTGGGAAACTCTGGACTGTGCGATTAGTTTTTTAATCATTAGCCAGTGATCTGCTTTCTGTACTCGCCCTGGACGCCTGCCAGGAGAGATGGGCTATTGGTGCCGGGGCTCAGGGTCACCCATTTCCCCAGCTGACTGTTTTCCTAGAGTGGGGCCCTGCTCACCCTGCGTTGGGAAACCACCAGCAGGTCGGGAGTGTGGGCACCATCGCGATAGTGCCTGGCTCTCGGGGGGGCACAGCCAGCCGGCCACACCGCTGCCTGAGCCTGGGGCGATCCAGCCCATCCAGGCCATCCCCGCTCCGCAGCATTGTGCCCGCTTCTTTCCAGGAGCTCCCCGACCCGGAGAAGGTGTCGACGGAGGTGCAGCAAATGTGGGTGCTGACGGAGGTGATCCGGGCTCGCCAGGCAGCTGCCCGCATCGGGCGCTTCGACGTGAGTCCCGCCACTCTGCTCGCAGGGGCTCCGGCCTCGCCGCATTGCTGGGGAGCCCTCCCGGAGGGGCTGCTCCTGGCGGGATGGGGCGGGGGTTTGGGCTGGGCTGTCCCGGCAGAGCGATGGTGCTGTGCAGAGACCGACACTTGCTCTCTTTCCCAGGTGGACGGCTGCTACGATATCAACCTGCTTTCCTACACGTGAGCCCTGTGGGTGCTGGCCAGAGGGAGCTGGCTCCTCCGCACTCCCGGGGCCCAAGCAGACTCCTGTGGTCCTGCATCGGCCTTCGTCCCTGCGGCCCCGGGGGGTTTCCAGGCCTCCTCCCCGTGCCCCTTCCCCGACTCCTCCTGCACTGGCTGGCAGTGGTGGGCTGCTGCCCCAGAGTCCCCTGTGAGCCTCTCCCAGCTCGGTGCCCTCCAGCTGCCGTGGCTCTGCTCTTGGCACGTCCCGTGCTGCTGCTCCCTGCTGCGGGCAGAGCCCGGCTCCTCCACCCTACCTCTGCCCTGGGGAGCGGCCCCTGGCCCTGCCTGCGCTGCCTGCAGGAGGAGGCTCCCACAGACAAGGGGCTGCTGGGGCCGGCGCCCACCGTGCTCGGGGGGCCGAGGAGGTGCCGGGGGGCGGCGGGGAGAGCCTCGGTCACGACTAAAAGCTGCTACCTTGGTCCTGCCTGTGCCTGCCTGTCT